GCTTCTCCCTCTGACCCTCCTCCCTCTCATGCTCTCTGTCTCTCATTCTCTCTCTCTCAAATAAATAAATAAAATCTTTAAAAAAAAAAATCTTTAAACTATAGGAGTGTAGATAGAGTTACAGCCTGAACACCCGTATGTCCCCACCTAGAGTCTATATTTAACACTTGCTCTATATTGGCTTTGTCAGAGATCCATTCATTTATAGATCCCCCATTCATATACGGCTGACCCTTGAATAATACAGGTTTACTACGCATTCACTTATACACAGGTTTTTTTTGATCCCGTATAGTAAATGTATTTTCTTTTCATTATGACCTTGGTAACATTTTTTTCCTCTAGCTTACTTCACTGTAAGAATACAGTGTCTAACATATATAACATACAAAATATGTTATCAACTCTTTATGTTATCAGTAAGGCTTCTGCTGAATAGTAGGCTATTGTTTTGGGGTTTTTTTAAAGATTTTATTTATTTGAGAGAGAGAGAGAGCGAGCATGACAGCAGGGTGAGGGGCAGAGGGAGGTTTTTTTTGTTTTTGTTTTTTTTTAAGATTTTATTTTTAAGTAATCTCTGTACCTAAGGTGGGGCTTGGACTCACAACCCCGAGATCAAGAGTCGCATGCTCCACTGACTGAGCCAGGTGCCCTAGTAGTTAAGTTTTTAGAGAGTCAAAAGTTACATATAGATTTCCGACTACACAGGGAGCCGGCTCCCCTAACCCCCATGTTGTTCAAGGGTCAACTGTGTATCAGTCCACCTATTATTTCTGGACTGGATTTTTTTTTTTTTTTAAGATTTTATTTATTTATTTGACAGAGAGAGACACAGCGAGAGAGGGAACACAGCAGGGGGAGGGGGAGAGGGAGAAGCAGGCTTCCCGCGGAGCAGGAAGCCCGATGCGGGGCTCGATCCCAGGACTCTGGGATCATGACCTGAGCCGAAGGCAGACGTTTAACCAACTGAGCAACCCAGGTGCCCCTGGACTGGATTTTTTCTTTTTTTTTAAGATTTTATTTATTTGACAGAGAGAGAGACAGAGAGTGAGAGAGAGAGAGAGCACAAGCAGGGGGAGCAGCAGAGGGAGAGGAAGAAGCAGGTTCTCCACTGAGCAGGGAGCCCGATGTGGGACTTGATCCCAGGACCCTGGGATAACAACCTGTGCCGAAGGCAGACGCTTAACCTACTGAGCCACCCAGGTGCCCCTGGACTGGATTTTTTAAAGGAAGAAAATCACTGGTG